CTCCTGCCAACCTAGCAGTTCGAAAGCACGTCAATGTGCAAGTAGATAAATAGGTACCGCTCCAGCAGGAAGGTAAACGGTGTTTCTGTGTGCTCCCCTGGTTCGCCAGAAGCGGCTTAGTCATGGCATGCTGGCCACATGACCTGGAAGCTGTACACCGGCTCCCTCGGCCAATAAAGCGAGATGAACGCCGCAACCCCAGAGTCGGTTACGACTGGACCTAATGTTCAGGGGTCCCTTTACCTTTACCTTTATGAATGAAGGATAGAGAAGGATGTGTGAGTGTGACGAAACTAGCCAACTGAACAAAGGTCAAGATCAGGCATCCCCAACCTGCGGCCCTCGAGATGTTTTGGCCTACAACTCCCATGATCCCTAGCTAACAGGACCAGTGGTCAGGGATGATGAGAATTGTAGTCCAAAACATCTGGAGGGCCAAAGGTTGGGGATGCCTGGTCAAGATCACGTTTAATGTTTTGCCTATTTGTCTCTGGCCCTGCCTGCCACTGGAAGTTCCCTCGCCCTGAAAGGTTGAATCATAGAATCATAGAATCATAGAATCATAGAGTTGGAAGAGACCACAAGGGCCATCGAGTCCAACCCCTTGCCAAGCAGGAAACACCATCAGAGCACTCCTGACATATGGTTGTCAAGCCTCTGCTTAAAGACCTCCAAAGAAGGAGACTCCACCACACTCCTTGGCAGCAAATTCCACTGTCGAACAGCTCTTACTGTCAGGAAGTTCTTCCTAATGTTTAGGTGGAATCTTCTTTGTTGTAGTTTGGATCCATTGCTCCGTGTCCGCTTCTCTGGAGCAGCAGAAAACAACCTTTCTCCCTCCTCTATGTGACATCCTTTTATATATTTGAACATGGCTATCATATCACCCCTTAACCTCCTCTTCTCCAGGCTAAACATGCCCAGCTCCCTTAGCCGTTCCTCATAAGGCATCGTTTCCAGGCCTTTGACCATTTTGGTTGCCCTCCTCTGGACACGTTCCAATTTGTCAGTGTCCTTCTTGAACTGTGGTGCCCAGAACTGGACACAGTACTCCAGGTGAGGTCTGACCAGAGCAGAATACAGTGGCACTATTACTTCCCTTGATCTAGATGCTATACTCCTATTGATGCAGCCCAGGTTGTTCCAAAACAAATGTGATTCTTGCTCTAGACTCCCCCCCCCCCCAGTTTCTTCGTTTTCCTCTCCTTTCCCACTTAGTTACTTTGGTTGCAGAGGAACTCTTGCTGCACACACATTCTCTCCCTGGCAAACAATTACCCCTGCTCCCCTCAGTAGGGGGCCATTAAGAGATCATCATGGGTTCTGCTAAGTCATCTCACAATCACAGCTTTGTGCAATCACCTCTCATCTCAGACTGTCTTGGCACCTGCCACGCGGAGGAACTAGCAGTCGCAATTCCTCAGCACCTCCAGGCACATTGCTTGATATTTCAGTCGAGGAGTATGACGGATAATGGCTAATAGTCTCTCATCGTTTAATTGGTAGATTACTCTGGCATTTATTTTCAGGAGGGGTGATACGGTAAAAACCCAAATGGGTGATCAAGATGGAATTTAACTCAACAAATGTATTTCAGAAGTTTTCTCTACAGAGCCATCACATTTATAAATGAGATTTCAGAGGTGATTGTTAACTACATCTGCTCTTTATTACTTATTAAAATGTATGTCTGCAAATGTCCTGGTGGTTCTGTCATAAGCCATAGAGATGAAACTATTTTTTTCCTAAGAAAGTTTTTACCATTTGCTATTCGTTATCTGTATTTTTCCTTCTGTGATTTTTGTAGTAGCAACTATAATGCTGATTTCAATCAACCAAAGGAAGGCAACCTTTAAATTTTGATGTCATATTTCAATTCTAAACACTGAATGTCAAGGTTTGAGGTCAAAATCTCAATGCCAGAGCTGAGGGGACACATAACACCACCACCACCACCACCACCACCACCAATATTTATAAGAAATATTGGGTGGGGGAAGCACCAAATGTTGCGCTCGCTCAGGATGCCATGTTACCAAAGTCCACCCTTGTAGGTATGTATCCCATTCAGCCCCTGCTAAAGATGACTGATACTGTCACTACTTACAGGGCCAAGTGTATGTCTGATAAATGCAGAGATCATCGTAACAAGTCATAACAAGGATCTGTTGGTCAAAGTTTGCTGGCCAGGAAATGATTTTAACTGGATCAGAGATTTTAGCACAGATTTTATTTGCAGTGCAATCTGTGCATGTTTACTTGGAAGCAAGCCATGCTACATTCTTTGGGACTTACAAAATAAACCTGCATGAGAAATTGTAGTCCTAACCTGATTCTTATATGGAACCACATTCTTTAGTGTGTTGCTGTCCCCGATGAGTCCTTAGAGCAGGCCAAAAATAAGCAATCAGCTGTGTTCATTGGGGAGGAATAAAGGCCAATGTAAGAAGTAGAGAGAAAGAATCTGAAAGGATTGGGCTACTTTGCACGTTTCCAAAAAACGAGCAATGTTAAAGTCAGCAGCAAAAAAACTGGGAGAAATCAACTGGGAGGGGGGAAAGTGCAATTTTTTTTCCAGCAGTGAACTCATGAGAGAACTCCTCCCTAATTTAGGCTGGAACTTGAAGGGGAGAAAGGTCAGAGGTATTCCCCCCTCCCTTGTCATTATTGGATCAAAACAATATCTAGGCAATAGACAGTATTTATTAGCTTGTAAAGCTGGAGATAATGATCCCATTCAATCAGAATTCATGAATTATTCAGCAGTCCCAACTTCACATAATTCCTTGCTTTACTTTTTAAACCAGTGAAATCAACAGTGTGTGTGTGTGTGTGTGTGTGTGTGTGTGTGAAATAGAAAGAGACAATAGTGGCCAAGAAAACAAAGCAAATTTTGCTGCTCTTTTTGTGTATCTCTTGCGGCAAAGAAAGCCATAGGGGTTTGAACTGAGAAGGATCCTCATGCTGGAAATATTCCCCAAATAAAGACTATACTCTTGAGTAGAGAAAGTATTCTAATTATTATTGCGGATGGGCACTCTCCATATTTCTACTGGATTTTGTAATTACTGTAAATGGTTTGATATTGCTGCTAATTCTGGTTGCTAGGGCAATTGCGTTTTCTTTTCTTCTTCTTTTCTTCTTCTGGCAGTTTGTTTTAAAGGGAACCACGTAGCTGGACATCTCCAACAAATTTGCAGCTGATGCTTCACCAAAACCTAATTATTTTAATGTAACTGTGTTTTGTTGCAGTCCACATCACCACTTAATGTCAAGAGGCAAGCACCAAGAAGCACTGTACTCTATGGTCAGCTATGATAGATCTGGGAGCTAGGGTGCTATGGAATCTAAACTAGCCACAAAAAGGTGTTACACACAAGGTAGGCAAAAAACATGCCCCTCCATGGCCAATCAGGATGCGGTGAAAAATAAAAATAAAAATAGGAGGGCTCTTGTGCTCAGGTCCTACTTGTGGGTTTGTCCTGACTGGTTGGTCACGGTGAGAACAGGATGCTGTACTAGATGGGCTATTGGCCTGATCCAGGAAACTCTTCCTATGTTAAGCTAGTGACCAGCTGAAACTTGGGGTGACAAAGGGTGGGAGGGTTGTGTGTGCAGCTTGCTGGCCAAGACAGAACCTGGGAGGCATGGGGTGAGGTCTTTTCTGGTTTGCAGCAAGTGTTGTTGGAAATGTAGGAATGGGCCAAGAACTTAGCTGCCTTATTCAGCCTTGTGAGGGCTGGGACTTCCCAGCTGCCATTAAGCTAGTCTCTAGAGAGCCAACGCTGAGTGGTGCTGCCTCCCCCTGCTACTGCAACCCCTTTCCCCTTTGGTGATGCGACAGAATAAGGGACTCCTTCCTAGCACTCAGTTATGAAATCGTTTCAACTGGAGGTGCTGGGGAGCCATCTGGCTGCCTTCTTTATGCTACCATTTATGCTACTTTATGCCACTACTGCAATGAGCTCTACGTGGGGCTACCTTTAAAGGTGACTCAGAAAATGCAATTAATCCAGAACGATGCAGCTAGACTGGTGACTAGTAGTGGCCGCCGAGACCATATAACACCGGTCCTGAAAGATCTTCACTGGCTCCCAGTACGTTTCCGAGCACAATTCAAAGTGTTGGTACTGACCTTTAAAGCCCTAACCAGCCTTGGTCCTGTATACCTGAAGGAGTGTCTCCATTCCCATCGTTCAGCCCGGACACTGAGGTCCATCGCCGAGGGTCTTCTGGTGGTTCCCTCACTGCGAGAAGTAAGGTTACAGGCAACCAGGCAGGGGGCCTTCTCAGTAGTGGTGCCTGCCCTGTGGAATGCACTCCCAGCAGATGTCAAGGCAATAAACAACTATTTTACTTTTAAAAGGCGGCCCTGTTTAGGGAAGTTTTTAATGTCTGACACTGTATTGTTTTTAATATTCGGTTGGAAGCTGCCCAAGGTGGCTGGGGAAGGTCAGCCAGATGGGTGGGGTATAAATAATAAATTATTATTATTATTATTATTATACCATAGATAGAACACCTCTAAGATGATTTTCACGACCAACCCAAACATGCTCCCAGGCATTTATTAAGGGATACTTGGGTTTCTATGCCATCTTCAGTTCTAAATTCGTGGAATGGTTCAAAGGGGCCAATTGAGCTTTACAAACCGAGTTTCTAAAGACTGGAAACCATGTGCAAAATTGACTTCCTAAATAAGAAATTGTTGATTTGCCCCATCAGGCCTTGGCAGGCAAAACATCCACTGACTGTTTATAGCATTAAAGCAGATGTCACCTTGCCATCTACTGTAGACTAATTAGTGTTGCATGTCTAGCAACAAGGTCCCCAGGAACTTCTTAGTGAGATACCTGGAGAAGCATATTTCTATATTCTTTGCCACTGTTGCAAGTACATAGGAAGCTGACTTATACTGCCCCAGGCCCATCTAAATCCATCTACCCTGATGGACAGCAACTCCCCAAGGTTTGAGACAGGACCTCCTTCCTAGTCCTACCTGGAGATTCCAGAGATTTAACCTGGGACCCTCTGCATGCAAAGCAGGAGCTCTACCACTAAATCTTATTTTCCATTAAAGAAGCTTATTTGGAGGCTAATGTAACAACAGGAGTGAATAATGCACTTGCTGGTACTTAGGTCATCAGATTCTGAAGTCTTGGTTAAGAACAGGGCTTTTTTCGGGCAGAACTCGCTGGAACTTGGTTCCAGCACCTCTCAGGTAGGTGCCATTGTCATTATAAGAGAACAATGGAAGGGTTCGTGGTGAGTTCCAGCTCTTCTTTTTCTAGAAAAATAGCACTGGTTAAGAATATAATAGAAAAAGTTCCACCCACAAGGCTGGATGAGCACAAAATCCATTGTGGTTTTCAGCTGATTCTGTCTAATGCTTGGAAATCATGTTGTTGTTAATTAAAGATAAGCAAAGCTTTCTAAGTTCTGAAGCCTAATGCGAATGCTGTTGAAGGTGACATTGTGTTGCTGATCTGTGCAATTCTTGATGTGTGTGATGACTGCAGTATGAATATTGATAGCAGCACATTGCTTCATTTTCAGGGATTTGCTCCTCTACTTTCTGTGACCATGAGTTGTGTTAAATTGTCGCATTGCAGGGCTGTCATACACCATGGTTCCCCTTTGTGATTCAGAAATTTGGGGTAGTCTTTGCAACAGGGATGGGGAACCTGAGGGAGGAGGACCAAATGCACACCTGTCGGCTTTGACTTGGGACATTTTTCCAATCTGCAAGATATTACGCCAGAAAACCAGTATCTATCTCTATATCCAATAATGATGGGTCTCAATGTTTACCAAGAGTCAATGGAGATATTTTACTATAATCCAATCACCACCCCTTTGGTGCAATTGATGGAGGTGCCTCTGCAATGGGTTGTCATAAAACTTTGCTGCTTCTGATCTGTATTCCTCTGAACAGTTGCTGGGAGACAAAGAGGCTGAGGGAGAGAGCATATACTGCAAAATATGAAAATACTATAGCTAGCATCCCTTATCCCACATTTGATTTTTTTCAGCTTCACTAGCAAGTATTTACATTTGATGCCTAGAAAGAATGGCTGGATTAAGCAAAGTCTGTGCTGTGGCGTTGTGCAAATTCCCCTAATGATACAGTACGCTTTAAGAAATTAAGGTCTAGGTCCTACTCTGTCCTGTTGTAACTGTGAACATTCCTATTCACTTCAGTAGAGGAAAGCATCAGACCCTAAGTCACTAAATAACATTTTCCATGGTAATTAATAACAGTAGTTTTGAAGTGAGAAAAAAATAGGGGTTTGCTCTTTTTTTTCCTTTTTTTTTTTTTGGTAACACAATTTTCCAGAACTGTTAGTGGATTTATGAGAAGTCAAATAATCATCTGGAACATATTCAGAGATGACAAGCTTTTTAAAAAATCAGAGCACATCCAAGGCTTTGGGCTGAGCAAGAAACTGAAGGATGGATTAAAAAATATATAAAAGGTAAGTATTATTGATTGGGGGAGGGCTAAGAAAATAATATGCAAATTGCCAAGATCAGAAGTCCTGGTGGATACATTTTTGAAAGAATGTGCACAGTGGGAGGGGGTTTCTGAAGTCAAATGTCTGAAACAAGACTGCAAAGGAAAAAAGGTAGTTTCTAAAATGCTCATTTTGTCTTGTCTTGTGGATAGATAATGAATGCAAATCTTCTTCCATGGGTTTAAAGCCCTGATTGCTGACACAGGGAAACCAGGATGTTTTGTGAAAAACAACAACATGTTGATCCTGTGAAGGTTTCAAAGTAACCACAGAACATATGTTGGGATTGTGTTGCCACCAGAAGACCTCAGTGACTGGACAAGTATAGAAAGGAGAAGATCCCAAGTTTCTTCCAACTTTATACACTAACTAACTGCAAAGCCTTAAACTAGCAATCAAGTCAGTTGCTTGAGCAGAGACATTCACAGGCTGGTGAGAGGTTGCTCCACTCGGCAACTTAGCTGCTACATTCTGCATTATTTGCAGCTTCCAGGCTAGGAATGAAAGAGAAAGTCAATTCAGTACATGTTTAAAACTGAGTCTATCAAATGAACACTTTTTGAAACTTTACTATGTAAACTGAAACACATCTACTCTTCAAAAGCCACACTACTCTGAATTTTGCAACATAGTTTTCCAACGAATGCATATTTGATGGGGAAGTGCGCATAAAAAGGAAAATAACATAGAAAAAGTACTATATTAGAGAAATTTGCTTGCAGAAATGTGCACAGCAGTCAAAACCACATATAAAATGCAATTATCAGGAGAAATTTGGACTGGTGAATTTTCATGAGGATTTTAAAAAAAAGAATTCTCTGCAAAATGTAGAAAACTGAATTTAAGATTGGAAAAATGAGGAACTACATGAACAGCAATGGACAGGTTCTTCCAGCTCTACTCCAGACCAACCTTAAGGGCAGCCCAACATAGAGCATATTGCAGAAGTCCTGTAATGAGGTTACCAGTGCTTATATAACTGTAACCAAACTATCCTTGTCCATATACAGCCCTAGGTGGAAAACTAGCCAAAGCTGTTAAAAGGCTCTCCTAGACTATGCACCTGCTCCTTCAATCCCATCCAGAGCAGGTAACAGATCAATCTCCTGGATTCAAGGAAAAACTCACCCCAGCACCCCCACTTGCCTCAGCCTCAGCTTACTGGCTCACATCCAGCCCGCCACTACATCCAGGACATGTATGGTTACACCTGATTCAGATATTTTGCAGTGTTGTGTGTCACCGGTCTACTGGTGACGCTTCACTCCAAATCACCTATGATCTCCCAATGGATTCATAGATGCTAAAAGCCTTCATGAAGATATTAAATAGATCAATACCTATGGATAGCCTCTGGAGTTGTTTTCAAATGGGTGGATGTACATAACTGTGCTAAGCTGCATGAAACTGTCATGCTGGAAGGGCAAAATACACTTCTCTCACTTGTATGTATCTTAGCTGGAAAAAGGATATGAATTACTCTTCCTTTATGAGGCAGTCTAACACTGGGTTGAAAATTCACTCCAAGCTTTTGTCTATTATCTGTTCTGTTAAGCTGCAGTTTTCATTAGTACCATAATTCATCATGCCAGTTGACTTTTACATTATGAATTGCTATGCTAACATTTTGCACCTGATAGTTATTAATTTTAGTGTAGACTGATTTATCATAGCATTCAGCATTTAAAGAGAGACAAATAGAAGATAATTTTTGTGTGGTTTTTTTTTAAGACACAGCACATAAAACATTTCCCAGATAATAATTAGGTGTTGGATGCAACTGCATTTTTTTTGTCTGTGGTCAAAAATGGTCCATTGATTGAAAGTGATGTTTTAAATGATTTTGCTGTTCAAAGCCTGACTTACCTGAAATGTAACCATGTCCTGATGCAAGATGGCATACTCTAAGAACCTGTTTTTTCTCCCTAACAAGGATTGAAATTACTCTGTGGCGACGTTTTCTGGGTAATAATGGTGTTGGGTCCTGCTAGTGAGACACAATTGCAGCTAATATGGCCATTTTTAGCATTGTTGAATTTTCAATAGCAGATAATTTAGATTGTGCATTATACTGGAGTCCACTGAGCATAGATGGAGAGTGGAATTAAAATTAGTTTCTTGTTTTTATTATTTTTTTTAGATTTTTGTTTATGAAGTGGTCTTTGTTTGAATTTGGGTTTTGATTTGTAATGCATGCATTCCTAAGGAACAGAGCTGTTGACGTGTCTATAGTGGAGAGATTTTTGCAAGCCACTCACCTCGACTAAACTGATTATTAACCTTGTTTTTTTCTTGATAGAAGTCAACATGAATAGATATACGTGTTTGTGACTTGCCTTGTAAATGGCACAAGATATATTTAGATTGTAGCTTGACATGCTTTGACTTCATCCCGTTTTCAAAGGTTGTGTATCCCATCTAGATCACTAGGATCAGATCAACATGTGGAAATGATCCACGAAAAGGATGAAGTGGTACCAAAGGTGAGACAGTGGAGATATGCTTCCAAAAATGGCTTCTCTAAAACATGGCAGTGGAACTGAACATGTTGCTATTTCATATTGTGTAAAACACCACTTGCTTTTACCTGGAATTCCTATCATCTAGAGGGCCACAGGTTGCCCATCCCTTACCTATCCTTGACAATCATGCCTCAATTATTCAGGCTTTAGGTAAGGGATGGGGAACCTGTGGCCCTCTAGATGATATTGGAGTACAAATCCCATCATCCCTGACCTTTTGCCATGCTAATGGGAATTGGTATCCAACAACATATGGAAGAGCACAGGTTCCTTACCCCTGCTTGAGATGTAGGCCTCTCTTTGCTTACTGATATTCTCCCTAATCTGTAGCAGGTACTTACCAACAGCAATGTGTAGCAAACCAGAAATAATAAGTGGGCTCCAGATTTTGCGACAAACTGGATGCCAATCCTGGCTCATATCCAAACTTTACAGGGCCTAACGCATATGCTATATACCAAGCCAGCACCTCCCATCAATGTCTCTTTGTAGACTATATACAAAAAAGATGCCAGTCCATACACAAAGTGAAAGATGGATACAAACCTGACATTGGAGGAATTCCCAGGACACAAACATGAACATTGTTCTAGATAGGCACTTGAAAAGGAGACTTTAATATACGAGTAAGTTTCATTCCTTTCTCTCTCTCTTGCTTCAGCCAAATCAATTATTCCCTCTGCTGTAGCATTTCATGCATCTAATTCTAGTGGGCTTTAGGCTGTGTACACACTCTGATTTACTCTGCATTCAGTATGTTCCCACCGCTGATTTGAGAAGCAGTGTACAAATGCCGTTAGCCACAATCCATCTCTATCCTGTTGTTTCTTTTTAAATGCTGGATTTTGGTGATTTTTCGCCAAACATGCTTTGATCCGAATTGAGGAAGAGAACATCCTAGCTGCATTTTCTATACACACACAGCCTTATTCCAAGAAAATGTCTGTGACAATAAAAATGTTAGCCTTTAAGGTGACATAAGAGTCTGGAGAGTGGGGAAGAACACAAGAAGAGGTGAGGAACAAGAAGGCTGGCA